GAGAATCATTTATCACCCTGAAATTTTTTTTGTAAATTTGCTGAATTCAGCATCAGAAACGACATCCGAACTTTTAATCCTACTGCAAAATCCGTGACTGTATGTGATTCAAGGACGCACCCGCCCCACTGTCAGGGCTCGAACCCAGGGCCTTCCGGTTACAAAGCTAGCAAGCTCCTATACCATTCAGGCATTGGGACTCGACTCCTCAAATACCAGCCCGCGAATTCTAACTTCTACCAATTCGTGATTTTAGCTTGACCACCAACCAATGTCATTAGTGGGAACTACATCCCTAGTTTTCAATGGTTTTCTAACTGATATCAATTCTTGATCAACTCTTAAAAAAAAGTCTAATCCTTACTAACCAAAATGTTGAAAATTAATCTGATGCTGCCTAGTGACTTGTTACAGGACAGAGTTTCCTGGAGTTCTTGTAAGAATTCATGACCAGTGAGGTCCATCCAGTCAAGTGTGAGGATGGATTTCCCACCGATGACATTGGTTGGTACCAGTCGCGCTAAAACCACGAATTGGTAGAAGTTAGAATTCATGGGCTGTTTATTGAGGAGTCGGGTCCCAGTGGCTGAATGGTATACGAGCTTGCTAGCCTTGTAACCAGAAAGTCCTGGGTACGAACCCTGGCAGTGGAGATGGTGCGTACTGCCGATGAGTCCCAACTAGCATGAAACAGCTATCCAGTACTCCAGTGTTGGTTTTCAATGGTTCTCTAACTGATAACAGTTCGTGATCAACTCGTGAAAATAAATGTTTCCAGTTTTTAGATAAATAATTTTTTTCAATTCTGCGTCAACGTACTTTCAAAAATTAAAAATTGAGAAAGTACTTACATTTTTCGATGCTACTGATACAGACGATTTCGAATCTATGAAGTGAAAAAAGGGCATGAATTTACAACTGGTAAATTAAAAACGAAAATTAATTATTAGTAAGGAAAACGTATATAAATATGCTGTACACCAGTGGCACACCGGTAGAATGCTCGCCGACCACGCCACATGTGGTCTGGGGTTCAATACCCAGCCACCGACGCACTCCTTTACCTCGCTAAGCCAGTTATAAGACTGGTAAAGAGGGAAGGTTGAGCATGAGGCTAGCATTGCAATCCTGTAAAAAAATAAACACCCCTGCTACCGAAACTTCAGATTTCTAGCTTGAAGTCCAATGTTCCACTGGGAACGTAAAGGAATAAAAATATATGTATATATGTGGAAGTTTCAAAAATCCATCAGTATGTCTTGTATGAAGCAAAGACAGCGATTTGTGCAGAAAAAGATGATACCATCATTTATTTCGTCGACTGCTCATCAGCTGCGTACAGCATAAAGAAATTATTAAGTTTATGTACGGAAACAATTTCAATTTCATACTCTTCTATGTGTATCTATCATTTTGACTGCTCCTGTGGAGTGAGCCAGTTAGCTGCATAGGCCGTACAACTAAGGCGTGTTTCTCGTCGGATTGCCGAACACTATCCTGCTAATGGTTAAATGAGGGACAAACAAAAATTGATTCATAGCTGCTCTATTCTGTCTCATCTTGTGGATACACAACACAAGACTGATGTTAAAGAGGCTTTGATGGTCATTTACCGCAAACCAACTAATCTTAACTTCACCTTAAGAGTTCGTCTCACAATATGCCAGTGACTGCTTTTAGTCTAATAGCTATCCTAACAATCTTCCTGGCATGGTAGGACCTGCAGGAACAGTAGTTCCAGCCAGTGAAGCTTGTTGGGTCATTGTGATATGCAAGCCCGACCACCACGTCAAGGTAGTAGCTATCGATCGCAGTGCTACATATCTGTGCAAAACTCTATGCTGAAATCAGTCAGTTAGTCAATCAATATGCAGATGATGCAGTCCTTCTAGGTGAAGACGCTGTTAAATTACAGAGTCTTCTGAACACCTTGAGCAGAAAGCCTAGAATGTTTGCCATGTAATATGCTTCTGTGAAATGTATGGCGATGCAATGGGGGAGGAATGAACCACATCGACTCTTAGCACTAAGATAGGGAGTAAGGTTGTAGAGCACGTTGACCACTTCATATATATATATATTATATATATATAGGAAGTCACATCAGCCCTTGTGGATTGATTACTGACAAAATCTCAACATGGATACTCGTGTGGCATTTCCCAACTTACGTCATCTCTGGTTTAGATGTGATTTTCGTCTAACAATCAAAGTTAAATGTGTGCTGCTCAGCAGTTCGCTCTGTACTTTGTAGTTGTGAGACATGCTTATTGAAAGTGGAAATTATGAAGCCTGGTGAGATAGTGTGAGTAATATTCAGATTAGGCACCGAGATTTAGGTAAGAAATGAAAGAGAATCGATGAGGTTGGGAAGCTACACCATTTGTGGCGGTACGGACACGTGTTACGTGTGCCTGGCCAACGCCTTCCTCAACGGGTAATGTTAGCTGACTTGGGATCCAGTTGGAAAAGAGCTAGTGTTGGTCAAATCGAAACATGGCATGAGTCCATGAAATTGTTGACAGTTAGTTTAAGCGATGTAGGGAGGTGTAGACTTCCTGGATGAGATCCCTAGAATGCTAAGAACCAATGGCTGAAGATATGGCTCGAAATCGTTTTCATTGGCACAGATGCATTGAGTCTTTGCTAGCTGTCGTATCCACTAAACTCTAATGTTTTCCCATGTGACTATTTCTGCTTCCTCACATTTCTGCTTATTGTCATCTTCTGTGCAACACGGAGTGTAGCAAGTTGACCTGCTGCACTCCTGTGTAAAGTTCTATGTTGAAACCAGTCAGTCAGTCAGTGAAATACCAGTCGCGTATTAATTTGTAGACTTGTTTTAAGCTTGCATATGGATTGATGTCAGTTAGAAAGCCATTGAAAACCAGCAGAGAGTATTGGACAGCTGTTTCGTCCCAGTTTGGAGCTCCTCTACCGCGCGCACTAACCAGGATTCAATCCAAGGACCTTCTGGTTACAAGAAGAGCTCTTAGACCATTTTGTGACTGGGACTCAACCACGCTGGATTTGGAGAAAAATACCCACCTACTGGCGGTCGCGTCGAAATTGCAAAATGGTAGAAGTTTGAATTCATGTGGCATTTAAATCGGGTCGCAGTAGCTGAATGGTCTACTAACTTTCCTTGTAACTGGAAGTTCCTGGGTTCGAACCCAAATGTTTATGTACTTCCAAAGAGTCTCAGACTGGGGGAAATAGCTATCCAGTACATTTTGGTGGTTTTCAGTGATTATCTAACTGACATCAGTCCGTGATGAAACTTGGGAAACAAATCAAACCTCTACAAAGTAATTTAATTGGTGGATGGTGACTAGCAGTGGAATCCAGGATGCGATTTTCGTCCCATTTGGGACTCGTCACTGGATGTACCTGCACTTCCTGGTGAGTGATAATGTTCCCAGACATCGTTGAAGCATCTGTACAAGAAGCCGGCATGTCAACCTGAGACCGAGCACTTCGGTTCAATCAATCGACGGGAAAATCTAAAATTCAATTAAATCTACAAAGTAACTTTAGACAATTTTCAAATTCTCTCTCTTCAAAATTGTACCAGTGTAACGACAGGATACCAAAGACTTGGTAAAGGAATGTTTATTTGGAAACTGGTATCTCTATATAGCGAAATTATGTACACCCGTATCTTCAAAGCACCGTTTGCACAGATCTTCCGTGTTGCACTACTTCTGGCCTTCCTTCATACTGTGTTTCTTTGTATTGTTGCTTTCACATATCCCATGTATCTCCCACCAACGCTGTACACCATTTACCTTCTCTGATGTCAAATGTATCTCATTGATATTTGATATCTTTGTGCCAACGAACGTCTCTTTATATTACTTATTATTTTATTGTTCCCTTGGGTTCCTAGTGGAACATAGGGCTTCAACTGCACGTCTCCACTTGCTTCTGTCTTCTGCTGTACTTTTCACCTCCATCCATGTTAGTCCATACTGTTTCAACTCCTCTTCACACGATCTCCTCCATGTCACCCTTCGACGTCCCACTCGTCGCTTCCCTTTCGGGTTCTACTCGAGGGTCTGACGCGATGTCACCTAGCCGCCTCCTGCATATTTGTTAGGTGATTGGTTCTTGTTTCGTTTGTTCCCATAGTTTCTTGTTGGTGATTCTTTCCGGCGGCCATCTGATCTTCAGTATAGAGCGAAGACAGTTGTTGATAAAGGTCTGCAACAGGCTATTGGAAATATTCTTTGTGACCCGCCAAGTTTCTGATCCGACGTATATAAGAACTGACTTGACGTTTGTATTGAAAATCCGAATTTTGTTGTTGATGCTGAGTGAAGAAGATTTCCAGATTGGTTTCACGTTGATGAATGTGTTTCTCGCCTTACCGATTCACGATTTGACATCCTCGTCCGTTCCTCCTGTGGTTGAGATAATGTTCCCTAGATAAGTGAATGAAATAACCTTTTTCAAATCCCTCCCGTTGATGGTGATTGGCGCTGGATATTGCTGCTGTTGTTGTTGGTTGGTTGGTTATTTCCATAACCTCTGTCTTGTCTATGTTCACCTGGAGTCCTGTCTTTGCTGCTTCTTCGACCAGTTTGTCGGTTTTCGCTTGTAAGTCTTCGATTTTGTGTGACATCAAACATAAATCATCCGCGAAATCCAGGTCTTCTATATTCTTCACGTCGGTCCAGGATATCCCTGTCTTCCCGTTTTCCACTATCTGACGCATAATCCAGTCCACCACAATTAGGGTTATCATTGGTGATAATAAGCACCCTTGTCTGACTTCTGTGTTTACTCCAAATGCCTCGCTGAGTTTTCCGTTGTGGATCACTTGACATGTACCGTTGTCGTACAGCTGTTGAATAAGGTTGATGAATATTTGGGGTACGCCGTAGTACTCGAGTAGTTTCCAAACTACTTCACGGTCAACGCTGTCGAAGGCCTTCTCAAAGTCTATAAAGTTGAGGTAGAGGTTTGATTGCCACTCCATGCTTTTTCCGATGATGATGCGTAGAGTTGCAATTTGGTCAGAACATGATTTGCCTTTCCTAAATCCAGCTTGTTCTGGTCGGAATTCCTCATCCAGCGCGTCCTTTATTCTCTCCAAGATGACGTAACTCAGAATTTTACTTGGCGTCGACAGGAGTAAGTATCTGCAGGTGAGTATCTCCGCCTGTCTCTTTATATACTACTGATAAATCTAATCAGTAGGACTCGCCAAACCAGTTCTCCTTATTTTTGTTAGTTTTATTTCATATTTACATCGGTTTGTGATTCGAGACTAAAAGGAAATTTGAACCATGGCTGGAATAAAAACCGACAGGCCCAGAATAACTTGTCTAGCGATTTACCAGCTGCTAACCAGGTCACTGCTTTGTCACGCTAGATCACTATTCATGCTATCAAGGAACATGTTAATATTCGTTTATCACCAGAACAGCTGCTCGTCTCGGTCTTATTCTGTCAATCCTGTTCATCCCATACTGAGTTAGTATGAGGCGCATTAAGCTGTTGTGTAATCGATCGCAAGGTTATCTGAGGTAGTCATGTGTCATCAAAGTATTATTGATGTAGTCCCAGGAGTATTTCAGATACTATGGCCATCAATGTATCTGTCTTTTGTCCACTCTTGTAGACACACTTTCAAGTAGAAGCAGGCGAAACGAAATTTAATTAAAATCTTTGTTCCTGGCATCCAACTGGTCTGTAGCCTGGGTGCTTTAGAAAAAAAACTACGTCTTTTGGAAGGAATCTTCGTCTAAAATGGTACGCGCCAATATTCATTGGTAAGAATATCAAACCAAAAGCTCAGAGGAACGAGATGTTACTTGCTCCATGAAAGAAACATTACGCGAACAGTGATGTCAAGGGAGACTTGGTCGGCGATATCCTTTGAGAACATTCTTCTCCGGTAACCCATTAGTCTACAGAAGCCTTAAGAGCAAGATATCGCATCCGAACACTTTTATGCGCATATGTAAGATCACCTGTCCCCAAAGAGCCAGGTTTATTTGGTCGTTCGAAGCGTATCCTGTCTAAAAAGTTTCAAGAACAATGTTCTGCAGGGTTGAAGAAAGGCTGCAATGGCTCCATAAGGAGTGCTACAATTGAACACCTTGTGAAAACTGTTCATTCCATTTCAAAAAATGCCTCCAGCTTCAAAGTAATCTACAAAGTGAAGAACAACCTGCCAAAGACAATACTCTTTCGTCTCCTTTGTATTGAGGACGCTCTATCCAATCAGATAGAGAAACCGGAGCTTTGCATAGAAAAGAAAATTACTCAATCACTTCTGCTGTCATGGTAACAATCTTGTTGATTTTTGCTAACTTGATTTCTGCTTGTTAATCTTTCAATCTCCTTATAACTCTTGTATTTCTTTAGTGCCGTTGCATAATTCCATATTTTCCTTTGCTTCTATGTTTATCCTGATTAAAACTCACTCATTAGACGATTCATCTTATCGCGTAACTCTGATATACTTACTCAACTTTTTTGTGTATTGATTAATGTCCTCAAGTAGTGGTTTTGCAGGGATTTTTTTTTGTTGGTTGGAGGATTTCATCATGAGCTGACATCAGTTAGAGGACATTGGAAAACAAGCTGGGAGTACTGGACAGCTATTTCTTAAGCCTAGTTTGGGACTCTTCAGCGATACGGACCCACCACAGGGGTTCAAACCCAGGACCTTCTAGTTACAAGGCATTTGGACCCAATCCAGTGGCCAATCCATGAATTCTAACTTCTTCTGCCAATTCACGACATACCACCACTACTTCACAATGTCTTCTTCGATGAGTTACTGCCTCACCATCAACCTTCTGTACCCTCCTGGTCACGGCTTTCCACTAGAACCCCAGGTAACTGCCTGAATAAGACCAGTCGCTAGTGAGCATCAGATCAATTTTCAAGTATTGGTGAATATGATAACTCATCGCTTTTATTAATATCCTCTTTTAAGAAAATAAGTTGTATGTAGGTGAGACTGCACGGCTAATGGGTAAGATGAATTCGCCAAAGACCATTTGTTTCGTTCTTTCCAGTAGTGATCCAGTCTATCATTTCGTTTCGTTTCAAACGCCAAAGCGTTCTCCACCAAACCCCTTGGGCTACGAGAACCACCACCTCTAGTGCAAATGGCATTAATTATTACTTGTATTTAGTAAAGGTTAGTTTACTAATTTCAAATATATGTTTCATGATTTTTAAATTCGATCTTAATACAAATTTATACAGTGAAAGAAAGATGAAGGAATTTTCAAAATGTCAATCACTCACTCACCTGTAGATGGAATTTCATCCACCTTTGTAGAGATAAGCACTTGATTTACTCCTGAAGGATGTAAAACTTCTACGCTGTCTTCTTCTACCTCTTCGATCACTTTATCAATAATGATATTATCAATTCCATTCTCTATTTCAAAATCATCTTCATAAACTTAAATCACAAAAACAAAACGAGACAAATTTTAACCAAACTCGTTAAGCTACTAACTAATAATGTTAGTAGCTAAAATAAAACTTCAAAAAAATAACTGAAATCGAAACAAACTATAAACGTGCATGTGGATATAACTTTCTTTTTTAAAATGTATATGTAGTCATTATAGTTTCATACATATACAATGACAACACAAATGGAACAGTTCAAGGGTTTATTCTGGTTTTAAATTCAATGGATTACGAACTAGTCATTACATGCATGTAGTCGTACGAATATTATTATTATTATTATTATAAGTTGTTCTTGTGGTAATTCCGATTGTTACTGCTATACTGTCAGTCAACATTTCTACTGTCATTACTATTCGTATCTAGACTGTTGAAATACGTGTTTGAATTCATAGGAATTGGCTTATTAGTAGTTGTTACAGGATGCACAGTTGATTGGTTGAGTGTCGACTGATTGACAAGTGGACGATAGATGACAGACAGCTGACTAGTATCTTCGTCATCCTCATCCTCATCATCATCATAGGTGAATGTGTTAAAATCATCACCTTCATTGGTCTTTTCATCATCATCATAGTTACTGGATATATCATCATCATCATCATCGCCCACTTCCATCTCATCGTCGATATCAGCATCGTCGTTGTCTATCTGTTTCGCATTACTCATACAACTTGTATCTTCATAACATTCAACTGAATTATTACTACAAGAAGGTGATTGAATGATTATTTTCGGGATACGATTTTCTAATGAACACAGTGATGAATTAATGTCATGAGATGCTTGTTTGTTAAACAAGTCGCTGAAATTTATCTTATCAGTAGTAATTGACGTGAACTTCTCTTGTCCACCTTGCTCACTTTTCAAATTAAGATTAGCTGACGAAGGGATAGTTTTATGAAAAATTGACTCTTTATCAATTTCATTAAGTTGTTTTATTAAATTCATTTTAAACAAATCATCTGCGTTTCTATGTTCAATAGTTTTCATTTCTTTATCTAAACTGACTGTAGTAAAAGATTCCTCCCTATCATCATCATCTTCGTTCTCATCGTGTGTGAGATTAGTTTTACTTGTCACTTCTTGTGTATCAGATCCTTCAGGATCGATTATATCAAAGTTTTTCGATAAAAATTGAGAATAATGGTCACCTGGTATAGATGAAGCATTGATATTCATACATTGATTCCATTTGGATAATTTCTGTCTGGGCACAACTTTAATACTTTTTAATTTCTCTTTACATTTATTTTTAATACATGTCAATTTATTCAGTTTTGAATACTTATCGTCAGTCGGCTGACAGTTCCCTGTCGAGTTGTCAACACATTCACCAGTATCATCATCATCATCATCACCACTCTGGTCGCCGTTTTCGTCGTCTCTGTCAGCATATTCTTCAACTTTTTTATTGAATTCATTCATATGTAAACTATCGCTAATCTTTGAAATGTTAAAATCTTTATGTATTTCATCTTTCTTTATTGATCTGTCTACTGCCTCGCATTTACTACGCTCTGATAGTGTGTTATTCAGCGTTACAGAATCACATTTATCTGATAGACTATCCTGTTGAATAACTTCGAATTTATTTTGTTCATCACAAATTTGTATATTGGATAAATCCACATGACATAATTGTTTGTCGAGTGGATCATTTTCTCTGGCATTTTTATGCTGATCGTAAGTTTGTTTATTGAGACAAGTTTCAGCTTTATTATGCCTTCTGTCTGACTCGGCGATTCGATCAATAATTATTGATTGACTGTCACTATCAAGGCTGTTAACAATTATATTTGTCATATAATCTGCTTCAGGAGGTGACAGAGTAGTGGACAGCCGATGAGTTGGTGTTAACTTTTCATTTGTACAATTGTCAATGTCTACATCAAGTGTATTATACTGTTTATCTAAGTGTTGAATTAAAATGCATTTTTATAGAAAAGTAGGTTAAAAAGAAAAAGAATAATAAATGTACATTAAAATTTTTAAATTTTATGCTGCATAAAAAGCAATAACAAATAATTTGTTTTATTGAAACATTTTTGTTTAAATGGCGTCAAGGTTAGACAAAAATCTGACCAATCAGAAAGCTTTAAAGCTGAGAAATTAAATGCAATAGATTATGAGGATATTTAATCGAATTATAAATTTTCCCGTCGATTGATTGGACTGCAGTGCTTGGTCTCAGGTTGACATGTCGGCTTCTTGGGGAGATGCTTCGACGATGTTTGGGCATGTAATTAGAAGTCAATTGGTGGATGCTGACTAGCAGTGGAACCAGTGCCCATAGTTTCAAACGCCTCGGTGGGAACATTATCACTCCCTGGGGAATGCAGGTACACCCAGCTGGCGGACTAGTCCCAAATAGGACGAAATGAGCGTTACCCTGGATTCCACTGCTAGTCACCATCCACCAGTTAGATTATGAGGATATTTTATCAACAAATACTTTGTATTCTTGTATTTCTTTGAAAAACCCCTCTATCGAGATCATCACTGGACTGATCCAATTTCGATTATGGATTGATGTCACTTTAGGGAGGACGGAAAATCAAGGAGTACTTCCTGTACGGCTGTTTCGTCTTAGTTTGAAACATTTTAGGAGTATGTACTTAATGGCGTTGAACTCCGGGACTCACAGTTACACGTCATGCTTTCAGGACCTCTTGAAAATTAATCTGATGCTCTCTAGTTTCCAGCTACAGGACGAATTCAGTTACTCGGAGTTCTAGTGAGAAGTCGTAAGTATTGAGGTTCGATGATATCGCAAAAGCAGCTATTTAGCATCTCATTTGTGCGTCGATGGCACAGTGGTAGAATGCTCGCCAACCACGCATATGTCTAAGGGTTCGATCCCTGGCCACCGGCGCACTCGTTCATCCATCAATAAGACTGGTAATGAGAGAAGGTTGAACATGAAGCTAGCAACTCCATCCCGTAAAAATAATCACCACTGCTACTGAAACTTCAAGCCTCTAGCTTGAAGCTGCCCTATGTTCCACTGGAAATGTACAGGAATAAAATAATAGTACCTCATTTCTAAGTATTAACCTACTTTATTTTACACATATAAGAGGATAAGACGATAGACATGGTGAGAGAGAGGGAAAGAGGATAGACCAACCAGTTACCTTTAGAGTCGCCTTCATTGTCGTCTACATCACTCTCATTGTCTTCACCGTCTTCTTCTCTCTGTCCTTCTTTTTCACCACCTTCGAATCGTTTTTCTTCTTTATCTCGATGGATTGCAGACTTTTTAGCTAATTTCTTTGCTTTTAATTCTCGTTTCATTGCTTTAGCTGTCTGACATCTGTGGGTGTTAAAATAAAGCCCCAAAACAGTTACGGAGAAATCTAAATAACTACAAACAGCATACATATAATGTGACTCATTATCTAAACTGTGGATCGGGGATTCAATAGAGGAATCGTTACCAGCCAATCAGGTGGTGGTGGGGATTCAATTTCTAGCCAAAAAAACTCGTAAACTTCGTCCAGTCTACTAGCCAATAAATAGTTAACGCAAAAAGAGTGAAGATTTGACCTGAGACTAGCAACATCAACTCGTGAAAATCAAAAACATCACCGCCACCACTTTTGAAACTTTAAAAGTTTTGAAGCCGTGATAGTGCAATCAGAAAGCAACAAAAGGAAGGAAGAGAACTAACCTGATCACTCTACTTTCAGGCAGTGAGTGCTTACAGCTGGTGTACGACTGTTCTCCTATGCACACACACACACACCATTGTATATCGTATACATACATTTTTACAATTCAGTTGTCCACGATCACGAACATTAGTCGAACAAGGTCACTAAAGTCTGATGCAATATTATGCACTATCAATCAATGAAATCCCTTCAAACCATCACTTCATAATTAATCTGATGCGCACTGGCGACTGGTCCTGTGGTTCTGGTGAGAAGACGTAACTAGCAAAGTCCACCAAGAGGACAGTTACCCGCCCGTGACATTGGCTGGCGGTAGCTCTAGACACATATATATCACGAATTGGCAGGAGTTGGAGTTCATGGGCTATTCTCACTGAATCGGGCCCCAGTGGCTTAATGGTTTACGAGCTAGCTCACCTTACAATCGGAAGGCCCTGGGTTCGAACCCCTGTGGTGGATGAGTACTTTTGAAGAGTTTAAAAACTAGGAAAAAACGACTGTCCAGTACTCCCTGAAGGTTTTCCAATGGTTCTCTCACTGATGTCAGCTCATGATCAGTCAAAACACGATAACTATTTACAGTGTTTAACAAAATAGACTAATAATAAACAAAATAATATAATTTACAAAATACCTTATAATAATTGTGAGTTAGGTCAACTAACTACATCGGTGAAACTCGTAGATAGAGCATAGTCAGATTGTCGGAACATAAGAATTTAGTTAGGGCAAGAATCGTTGACCTCGAGAAGATAAGTAATTTAGAAAAACGTCAGTAATTGCACTGCATGCATTAACGCAAAAACACAATACGGTGCGTGGGAGACGGTTAAAATTCTAAGATGTAATATAGGTAGTTAGAGAGAGGGATTGATTACTGAATCCTTGTTCATCGAGTGAATCTACACCCAACACGTGCAATAGGATGCAATGACTCATCATTCATACCGGAAATATGAAAAATACTACTACCAATCAAATCAAGCGATGGAAAATAATGGAATTATATAAACGAAGTTAGAAAGTTGTGTGAGTAGTGTCTGGATATGATTATGAGCGGCGATAAATTGTGCTCGAAACGTCATCAGCAAATATTCCTCACTGTATATAACACTGTGCGACTTTATCAAAATAAATTTTACCCATAATGAAATTAACCTCTTTAAAATTACTTCCGTTGACAGTGATTGGTACTAGTTGTTATCCACCGAATTACTTTATTTCAATTCTCAGACCCTCCCTCTTCAAGACCTCCGCAATAATAGAAGCCGATATATTAATTAGATGCTAAACATTTTTTGCAGTTCAAACAATCAACGAGGAAATCAAAATTCTTACTTACCTATAACATGGAAATGATCCTTCCACTGTTAAATATACAAAATGCCCATTCCTCCCACCGATACGAACACCTTGTCTATGACGATATTCACAGCATGCACTAATTCTTGTATCTTGTGTACCATCCACATAGAATGTTAATGAAAACGGGAAGCCATAAGCTCGTCTCGATACGATTTGAAATATATCTAAAATGATGATAATAATGATAATAGTAATGTAACGACAGAAGAGATGGGCCAGGAAACAGATCGTTTATTGAGAAAATCAACAGATATTTATGTATATTATTATCAGCGTTATTGTTAGCAGAGAAACAGCGTCTTCTGATTGGTTGTTTTCTTGCTGAAGGTTATTCTGTCATCTCTTTGTGGCCGTTTCTTTGAAGGTCAGACCATATATCTGCGAATCGTATCCGCCCACGCTAAGTCTGCTGTGATTGGTTGTTGAGTTTCTCAGGGCTAGGCTTTGTCATCGACGTAAATTTGCTGTCTACCAATTTTGGCTAACAGACAGCTCTCACCACAGTAATGCACAAAATTGGATTAGTATGAGAAACAATTAAAAATGAACAGTTTGTTCTGAGTTGGTAGTGGGTGACGAAAAGTTATTTAAGGGAAATTTGAAGTTCAGATACAGTTAAACGCGTTTCATACAAATGCTTAATATATACACACCCACCCACGGTAATACAGTATTATTTTCAATACAGCAGGAATTATAGTGTCATTCAAACCTACAAACTCACTCAAGGACTGACTGACTGGTTTCAACATAGAACTTTGCGCTGATGTGCAGCAGTTCGAATGGCCACACTCCCTCCATGTAAGACACAAAGAAAGAGAAGAAAGTAAAAGTAAATTCAAAACAGAGACAGTAAACAGAGATAGGAGGCACAAAAAGAATAGTAATATCGAAGAACAATATAGTTTTATTGGGCATTATAGCTCACAATGAGTGCATGCACCTGCGCTAGCCATTAACAACGATTTTGAGCTAGCCATACCACCAATTGTCTCCGGCTGTCGTTGGTGTTTACCTTACCGAGGATTCCAACCAGTCAGGAAGTGTACACCTTCCTACCTGGCTGGCTTAAACTAACTGTTGTGGATTTCATTGACTGATGAAGTCATGTTTTGGTATGACCGCCGCTAGCTCTCTTCCAGCTTGACCCTATGTCAGCTAAAATTGCCTGTTGTCGAGGAAGCAGATGACTAGGCATACATAACACATGTCCTAACCATCTCAGTCGATGTAACTTCACAGCCTCGACGATTGATTTCCCCTCCTTACCTAGCAGTCGACGTCTAGCCTCAGTATTGTTCAGCCTATTATACCACCGCATCACACGGGAGGTAGAACGCAGGCACCTATGATCAAAGACAGTTACTATTAGTACTGTTATTATTATTACTAGTATTATAACTAAAACTATTACTTACCGCCTGGTTGAAGTGAATCTTTAAAAACAGTCAGAGTTTTTCCACCATTCGGTTGTTGAATAACTGTTATAACACGTGATAAATATTGATTATCCTCCTTTGCTGAGCTGACTTTTCCTTTAGGAGTTTTCTGTTGATCATCAATTGTTGTTTGTTGTATTTTCGCCTCTTCTGTACGTGATATTCCAAGGTACATAAATTTAACAATACAAGAAGTCTAAAAGAGAAATAGACACTGTAGATTGTAAAACAATTGACTTATATTATGATTGTGACTGAAAATTAAATAGAATTTATTATCAAATGTTTCGTACCGATTCGGGACTCATCAGTAATACCAAGATATAACTTTAGATCGAATTTGTGATATGCAACTTACACAGTTAACAATTAACGAAGCAAGCATAAAGCTATATACCACTAACTGACTGATCGATTCTTATCAGCAGTTGAATACTACTCAAATAAAGCAACAGTAATACTTGTTAGCCACAGAGATCTGAACACAAGGCAACTGTTTACCTGGTTCGGTATCGAACGCGTCAGTAGTGTAACCCATCTGTCTCAGCTCAGACAGCCCATTTAGTTAGAATCACCCAAATTCTGGCTGGCTGGCTAGCTACTTGAGAGAGTTCGATCCCATTCCTTAAAACAACATGTTATTGATTCATTTTAACAAAAAATGGTTTTGTTCTTTTAGAAAATAGTTGATGAAATGTATAAAACTCAAAACAATATGTCCAATAAAGGTCGGAGAGGGACATCATATTTATATACCTTAAGAAGACTATGCAAACGAGTGGTGGTTTAACCCAACAATTTGTTTCTACTGGGCTACAGCAGTTCCGGCTGAAATACTGTGAAACCAGAAACCAGTGTAAAACTTTGATTCACCAGTCAAGGATAGCTTACGAAACCCAGTTAGTCAAAAGTTCACCAGGCTGCCCAAAAAGACTCTTCTCATATATCAAGAGAACACCTCTTATACTTGAAGATGACCAGACAAACATGGCTGAGGATAACTTGACTAAGGCTGAGGCTTTGTCCAAGCACTTTAGTCAAATATTCTCTGGTAATATTGATACCAGCTTTGTAACTTTCCAGAAGGTAACTTGAAAATGGCACCCTTATACATTGGAAAGGATACTGTCCTAAAGTGGCTTCTAAGGCTCAATCCTGGTAAGTCCAGTGGCCCTGATGAACTCCACCCACGTATATTAACAGCATTGGCTGAAAACATAGCCGAGCCATTGTCGGTAATCTTTAATATGTCTCCGGACCAGTCTAAATGTTCAAGAGACTGGAAAGATGCCATCATTAGTCCGGTCTTCAAAACCGGATCTAGAGACTTAGTTCAGAACTATCGTCCTGTTAGTTTGACCAGTATTGTTGTTAAACTACTAGAAAGAATAATTCGTGATGCCATCATTCACTTCATTGAAGAGAACAAACTTTTCGCTGTGGAACAGCATGGTTTTAGAGCAGGTCATTCTTGCTTGACCAACCTTCTTTTGGCCAGAGAAAGTTGGGCAAGCTCAGCTGATGCTAATATACAGGTGGATGCCATATTCATCGACCTTAGCAAGGCGTTTGACAGGGTTTCTCATTCAGGTCTTCTAGTAAAGTTAAGTAGTCTGGGAATCAATAAAGTGGTTGCCGACTGGATTCAAGACTTTCTAAAGGACAGAAGACAAAGAGTACGAGTTAACGGGGTTTTATCAACATGGGAATCGGTTAAGAGTGGCGTTCCTCAGGGTACAATTCTAGGCCCACTTCTTTTCCTGATTTATGTTAATGAGATTCCATCGGTAGTTAGGTCATCCTGCTTACTGTTTGCTGATGACATCAAGATATGGAGGGCTTTACACGATGACAGTGATCAACTTGCTTTGCAGGAAGATTTAAACTTGTTAAGTGATTGGTGTAAACACTGGGCCTTGGAGATTAACTTAAGCAAGAGTGTAGTTATGCATGTATCTCATAGTCACGTGCACAATTACTCAATGAATGGCATTACTCTCCCAGTGGTCACTGAGTACAAGGACTTGGAAGTGGTTGTGCAGCATGACTTGAAAACAGCAACAAACTATAGAGCTGCAGCCACTAAGGGTTTTCGAATATTATGGGCCATACGCAAGGCTTTTGCAAATTTTGACGCTGAAATATTTCGTATATTATATCCGACTTATATCAGACCTCATTTGGAATATGGCATCCAGGCAGCGAGCCTGTGTTTCAAATACGAAATAGACTTATTAGAAAGGGTGCAAAGAGTAGGAACTAAGCTAATAAAGGGTTTCTCAGCTCTCTCATATGAGGAGAGGTTAAGTCGACTGGGTTTATTTCCACTGTCATACAGACGACTTAGGGGTGACCTAATACTAACATACCGTATCCTAAGAAATGATTTTGGAGCTAATTTATCTGATTTATTTCTTCCTTCTAGCACCAACCAATTGCGAGGACATCACCTCAAGGTTCAAAAACCACGGTCGAATCGTCTGCGTTTGGAGATCCGTTTTTCGCATCGGATTGTGAACCATTGGAACTCCCTACCGGAACACGTCGTATCAGCGCCATCCGTTGATTCATTCAAGGCGACATTGGACCTCCTGTGTGTAACAAATCGAAAGGATTAACGCAGGCATATAGCCTACTATCCTAAATCAATTGTAAACTGTAAACTTGAGATGTTCATACACACACGAAGTAATAATCGATTCCTCCTTCAGCTTCTCCAAAGTTTTTGACAATTCATTCTCAATTCCTTCCGTTCTATCGTTCTGATCGGTTGATCTTAAAAAAATTTCCCCCATCACAAAGAATGCTACATAATTCATTGATGTAATCCTCAAGATTGACTTCATCTCAATGCTGCTCAAGGAAGTGGGGACGCAGCTTACTGGACACAAAAGTAAGAAGACGAGTAGACTCTGGCTGAGACCACTATCTCGTACAAAGAACACTCCTAATCAAATTTTAAAAAAACTTTCAAAGAAACTCGAGCTGCAGATAAACTGTAAGTCAAGTTCAATACTCAAAAACTGAAGGAACAGGAAACAAAGAATATCTTCACTGCAATCATAAGGAAAAAGGCGGAGACACAAATAAACACCAGCGAAGAGACCAGTGTTGAAAAGCAGTGTAGAGTCACACCGGTATAGAAGTTCTAGGCAAAAAGAAGAGACAGGGCAAACAATGGCTCACTACGGACACGTAGAGACTAATAGAAGAGTGAAGGATGGTGCCACAAAAGATTATCCAGTGCTGTCAGTGGCGGTCGATTTACAAGTCTTTTGAAGTGTTCAGCCCATTGTTTCCTTTTCTCCACCTCTTTGGTAATTGAATTTCCATTGTCATCCTTCACTGGCTTAATTAGTGTTCAACTTTTCCCCGATAGGAACCTAGTTATTTGGTCTGAACACAAGAAGACTGTTAGCCTGTTTCGGTATTGAACCTGTCAATTGTTTAACCTATTTGTCTCAGCTAAGACAGCCTATTTATCTTGAAATCATCCGAATTCCAGCTGGCAACCTGAGCCAATTTGATTGCATTCCTTAAAATAACATGTTATCGATTTATTTTTAATAATAAATAAAGTTTTGTTCTTTAAAAAATAGTTCAGGTTTCTCCTTGAGGATTGCTAAGGCTTCAGTTGCATGAAGAAGATTTAGGCGTCGGTGGCATAGCGGTCAGGACGCTCGCTGACCATGCACATGGTCCGGGGTTCGATCCCCGGCCGACAAGGCACTCCTTTACCTCGCTAAGCCAGAAATAATGCTTGTGAAGAGGAAAGGTTGGGCATGAGACTAGCAACCCCATCCTGTAAAATAAACACTGTTACAGAAACTTCAAGCCACTAGCTTGAAGCCCTATGTTCCACTGGGGAACATGAAGAAAAAAAAATACCATTAATTCGAACCCCAACAGAACAATAGATAAGTATACACTGTGATAGTAGAATGTTACGTAAGGAACCAAAGTCGATCTTTGAGGCTGTGAAGCCTGATCGATGCGTCGCAAACACAAAGTCATTGTCATTGACTAATGTTAAATGAAACAGGATTAGTGGGGAAGAGAGTGGCGTTTGATCAAATCAAAACATGTTACCAGTCCATGTAGTTGTTGACCGCCGGTTTGAGCCCTCCCTGTAAGGAGCTGTCGACTAACTGGTCATGATCCGATAATGCTTCAATGAATGGATGCTCACCGACCAAGCGCACTATCAAGGACTGAATTCTCGTTCAAAACACAGTTTGGAGAAGGGAAACCGTTGCGTGTCAAGGCACCCTATGTTATTCCACTAGGAACGCAACGGAATAGCAAGAAAAATGGACAAAACCAATTAGATTACCAAGCTAAATAACACTCCATCGAACACAAACACATATCAACTCAAAAAAAATAGAAAAAAACTTCAGGAAAACAATTATTCAACAAATAACACAAAATGGCAGTAACACCAAACATCAAACTGGAACAGAAACCTTTATCAACAACATACACTTCTACACTGTTTCAAATCATTTACGCCTAATGTTAACGACCCCGGTAACGCAGGCCGCATCATTCCGCCTTCATCAGCCTTTGAGTGCTTTTTCTCTCCCCCTTCTTGATAACCATCATCAGTCGGTTTGTTTAGCGTTATGCGGGCGTCTTCAAGTTGACGCATAGAATCATCAGCACTATTGGTGGCGTCTCCACAGCTGCCACTACAACTATTGCTAGTACTGCTTGTACCCGCACAACGGATATCAGTGCCAAGAGAGCTACCGAGGTCTTTATTATCTTTGTACATCTTACTGCCAATGTTCAGCTCTTCAATATTCATTCGATAGCTGTTGACAGCTGTCAATAACTTTTTATCTTTTACATTTTTTAAGGAAGTTGTTAATTTACTACTTTTGCCATTAATAGTAGTAGAGTATGCACCAGAATGTGGACTACTACTGCTGGCTGTCTTATCCTTACTAGTATTACTAGTACTGCTATTACTAATTGTAGTATTGTTAGGCGTAGTGTCACTTGTCTCTTGAGTGAATAATTTATTCTTCGGTAGCATGTTTAATAAATCTTTAATTGACAGGGTAGATAATAAACAATTGGAGAGAATTTCAATTTGTTTATTGTCTAAATTCATTATTTTTGTATCACCGTGAACACTACTGATTTGAGCATTTTCAGTAGTAGTGGTAGTGGTGGTATTAGCAGTGGTGACGTTAGATTCAATATTGGTTGGATGAGAAGGGTCAAGCTGTTGCAGAACATTTAAATCAGCCAACGACGCCGACGCCGACGACAGTGATTCAGTTGACAGATTGTTTTCGCATACTTCACTATTAATCTTTTCAGTTTGAGCAGTATTCATCAAATAATAACTTTCCAATGATGATGATGATGGGATATGTATGGCTTTTGATCTTTGATCAGTTAATCGATTATTTATAATCAATCTATGCCTGGATGAGTACGGTTTAGGCTGGATAATGGATCTTGTCCAAATATCTTTCACTGATATCTGTGTCAACAAAATATAAAAGACAATATTTGAAAAAATATTCAGATGAGAGAAGGAGAGATTCGACTTTCAACAGTCGAGAGCATATGACATTGGGTGGTTGTCGTCCTAAAAATCACAAATAAGCTGAGGTTCACTGGATCGAATCCCTGTGGCTGGAGGGTCTATGACCTATCCTTGTAACCAGAAGGTACTGGATTCGAACCCCGGTGGGTAGGTACTGTAGAAGAGTCCCTAGCTGTGACGGAACAGAGCTACCGAGTACTTCCTGATGATTTTTATTGGTTCTCTAACTAACTTCAATTCCTGATGAAACCTGAAAAGATTAGGCTTTAAAGTTTAAATTTCTATATTTGGTTTGTAAGGGTTGATCACGGAGTGATTTCAGTTGGAGAACCATTGAAAACCAGCACTGGAGTACTGGAGAGCTGTTTCGTCAGCCTAGTTTGGGAATCATCGGCTATAGAAATTAAATCTGATGCTCACTAGTCACTTGCTACAGGATAGAGTTTCCTGGAGTTCTAATGAAAAGTCATGGCCAGTGAGGTCCATCCAGTCAACTGTGAGGATGGAATTCCCACCGATACATTGTTTGGTGCCAGTCGTGCTAAATATCACGAATTGGTTGAACTTAGAATTCATGGACTGGCCATTGAGGAGTCGGGTTCCAGTGGCTGAATGGTATACGAGTGGGGTGGGTGTGTACTGCCAATGATTCCCAAACTAGGCTTACGAAACAACTGGCTGTCCGGTACTCCCTGGCTGGTTTTCAATGGTTCTCCACCTGATATCAATCCGTGATCAACTCGTAAAAAGTTAAAGTTTAAGCCTCTAATGTGTTAAAAATTAGTAATGATAGCTCACCTTAAGTACCTTTACAGCTTAAAATCGATTACATCACAATAAAAGTTTTCTAAACGTTTATGCTATAAGACTAGATGCCTTGTTTAGATTCTATGAGGATCGGGTATGAAGGAATTATGACGATGAAATACAAAACAATAATTATTTAAAAATTCTGTTCTCGTAAATGATTGACTGATCGATTGATAGTAGTAGTAGTAGTAGAAGTAGGAGTAGGAATTAAATTCCAAATACAAATGTTTCTTCTCAGTTGTGACTCATCAGCCCAGTGTACTAATAATTCAACTGGACAGCTTGTCCACTAAAACTCAGTATATAAACCATAAGGCTACTGAGTACTACACAGTGAGGTGCAGTGTAGATACTCATAGCCTAAGTTTTTCCTGGATTCCCTTGGTAGCCACAACCAAGCCAAAATTCAGACACTGTGAAAATGAAGGCGATATCGAAGCATTTCTCCTAGGATTTCCAGGTTGGCTGTTACAAACTGATTGGAGGAAAAGTAATAATAAATAGCAAGTATCAATCGAAGCACTGAAGGCGGCCCCAGAGATTACGGTAGATGTTCTCACTCCATTACTGCAAAAAGTTTGGAAAGAAGGAAAAATGTGCCTACTGATCAGAAGAAGGGCTACCTCGTCAAACTGCCAAAAAAGGGTGACTTACGCCTTACTCTGTGAGAACTGGCGTGGAATAATGCTCTTGTCCACACCAAGTTAAATAATAGTTTGCCTCATCCTGGAGAGAATACAAGATGCACTTGATACAGAACTCCGCTTGCAAGGAACAAGCTGCATTCAGGAAAGGCAAATCACGTACTGATCAAATTGCAGCTCTACGCATCGTCATCGAGCATAGCATAGAATGGCCGTCAAACCTCTACCTCAACTTCCTTCATCGACTTAGAAAAGGCCTTCGACAGGTAGCGTCGAACGAGAATTAATTTGGAAACTACTTCAACACTATGGCGCACCTCAAGTCTTTGTCAACTCCATTCAACAGCTATATGACAATGGCACGTATCAAGTGATCCACAGAGGAAAATTCAGCGAGGCATTCGAAGTGCATACAGGAGTAAGACAAGGCTGGCGGCCTATTATCACCGATGATATTATTAATTGCTGACTGACTGGATCATGCGTCAGACTATGGGCAGCGAAGGGACAGGAATACGCTGCACTGACCGATGAGAAGACTCTAGAAGGTCTGGATTTTGCAGATGATATATTTCTAGTATCACACAAACTCGGAGACTTGCAGGCAAGCGAAAACCAACAAACTGGCAGAAGAGGCAGCGAGAACACAGAGATGACAGAGGTGATGAAGATGACTAACCAGCAAACCAACACAACAACAACCAGCACCAGCCAACATCAACGGGAGAGATCTAACAGAGGTTGCCTCCTTCACTTATCTGGGAAGCATCATTTCAACAACAAGCCGAAGCCAGTCAGAATCGGAAAGGCAAGATACGCCTTCAACAACTTGAAACCAGTTTGGAAATCTTCCGCACCCAGCATAAGAAACAAGATTCCCATTTTCAACAACAATGTGAAGTCGGTCAGTGCTTCTATACGGGTGAGAAACTTGCACTGCGTGTCATGAAATGGATTTCCAACAAGTTAGAGACTTTTAACAACAGCTGCCCACTTCGCTGGCTGACTCCATACTAAAGGTCAAATGGCCTGAAAGAACTAGTGATAAGAAACTCTGGCTGGGAACAAACGAACAAGCAAGAACCGATCGCTCAACAAATGTGCGGAAGGAAATGGAGATGGATCGGGCGTACATTGAGGAGGCCGCCGAACGACATCGTGCACAGCGCACGCCATTAGTCGAGTGGAATCCCAATAAGAAGCGACGAGTGGGTCGTCCTAGCGTGACTTGGAAGAGATCGTGTGAGGAAGAGATGAGACAGTTCAGTCAATCGTGGACCCAGCTGAAGAGGATGGCAGAAAACAGAAGAAAGTGGAGATGCGTTGTTGAAGCCGTATGTTCCACTTGGAACGAAAGGGAATAATAATAATAATCGATTGATCGATCGATAAATGAAATACATATACGTTGGAATATAGTCAACCTATGTAAAGCGCTTAATGAAGATCTCTGATATCAATTAGTTATGTTTGTAGTAAACATGAAAATATTTCTTCATCACGACTAAAGTGTCATCAATTGATTCTGTCGGCAAAAGTTGAGATTCATGGACAATTGAATGGGTTCCCAGTGGTTGAATGGTCAACGAGCTCACCTTGTAGCCGGAACGTCCGGAGTTCAAACCGTGATGACAGCGTCCTGGTAAAAGGTCTAGTAAACCCTGGTCGCTTTCAGTGGTTCTCTAACTGATATTAACCTCTGATCAATCCTGTGACTAATTGAATCCCTGGAAACCAACACTTGATTCCGTTTAGCTTAAGCAGTCGATTTGCAGTCAATGAGTGCCAAGTTCGAGTCTCTGCCCTCCTAATTCAACCTGAGCAACTAGGTAGAATCTTTAGCACCCACACAGTAAGTGTGGTTAATAGCCCAGTACTGGATAATTGAGATCTAACTTAACCGCACTTACTACTGGATAATTGAAGCTTAGTGGTGTGTCAGCTGAGTCTATTACTCACTTTGTCCATAATTATAGTGTAATCTTAACTTCAGCGTTTGAGTAATTTTAAAATTCCCACTTACATATTTAGGAAGGAATACAACAAAATGGGCGAAGAAATATGCATTCCTTTTCAATGAGTTCTTCATGGTCAGACGAAGCTATCATTAAAGTTATTTATCGTTTTTCATAGTGCGACAGTGGCACAGCGTTAGAATTCTCGCCAACCACACCACATGGGGTTCGGAGTTCGATCTCCGGCCGACACGCTCCTATACCTAGCTAAGCCAGTAATAAGATCGGTGAAGAGGGAAGATTGAGCATAAGGCTAGCAACCCAATCCAATACAAAATAAACACCACTGCTATCGAAACTTCAAAGCCCTATCCTGAAGCCCTATGTTCCACTAGGAAGGTAAAGGAATAAGAACAAAATCGTATTTGAGGTAAGCTTTCGCATGCTCAACGAGAACAACACAAGCAATCAGAAAATATTTGAATAATTTCCAAGAGTTTGGCTTGTAAGGATTTGATTTGTTTATACGAGTTTGACCACAGATTGATATCAGTTAGAGAGAACCAATGAAAACCAGCCAGGGAGTACTGGACAGCCGTTTTATCCAACTAGTTTGGGAATAATCGGCAGTACCCACCCACCCCACTGCCAGGCTTTGAACCCGGCACCTTCCGGTTACAAGGCTAACAAGCTCGTATACCATTCAGCCACTGGGACCCGACTCCTCAATCGCCATCCCATGAATTCTAACTTCTACCAACTCGTGATTTAGCGGGACTGGCACCAACCAACGTCATCGGTTGGAAACCCATCTTCACACTTGCTGCAGGACGGAATTTCCTGGAGTTCTAGTGAGAAGTCGTGACCAGTGAGGTCCATCCAGATGTCAAGTGTGAGGATGGATGTCCCACCAATGAGACTGGTTGGGGTCGCGCTAAATCACCAATTGGTAGAAGTTAGGATTCATGAGCCATTGAATCGGGTCCCAGTGGCTGAATGGTATACGAGCTTGCCTTGTAACCAGAAGGTCCTGGGTTCAAACCCCAGTGGGTGCGTACTGCCGATGATTCTCAAACTAGTGGGATGAAACACCTTTCCAGTAATCCAGTGCTGGTTTTGAATGGTTCTCTAACTGATATCAGTCATCCGTGGTCAAACTCGTATCTGAATAAGCCAAATTTGTGCTGGCCTTCTTTTGCTGTGGCTGACCACATATTGCGTATTAACTTTTACAAAAGATATTCTCATACCCTTGTACCTATCACGTCAATTTATTATGATCACTATTCCAGGTAATTCAATCAACCTTTTTGTATTTCCGTATTATCAAGTAAATCTTCTTGGGCGTTATTCCTTCTAAAATTTCTTGATTATGTTAAAGCTTGTTGCTAACCCCTACGAGTTAACTGTTAAAATGATTCTTAATCTCTCATTTTCACTCTTCCTATCCTTAAACAGCTGATTATGATTATTATTGTTTCCTTTAGTTCCTGTAGAAACATAGGGCTTCAGCCGCCCATCTTCATCGCGTTCGGTTCTCTGCCAACGTTTTCACCAGGCTCCACGTCTGCCTACATGCGTTCATCTCCCATTCACATGACCTCCTCCATGTCAACCTCGCACTGACGACCGACTCTCCGCCTCCCATTCGGATTCCACTCGAGCAATGGCCTGGCGTGTGATGTCACTCACTTGATGGTTTGTTTTCTCAGAGTATGGCCAATCCACCTCCATTTCTTCCTGAATATTTCTTGCACAATTGGTTCCTGCTGGGTTGGTTCGCTCATTGCCAGAGATCCCTGTTACTTATCCTTTCCGACCGGCCATCTGATCTTGAGTACTTTTGAGCGAAGACAGCGGTTGATGAGGATATGTAGATTGTTTGAGGTGCTCTTCATGACGCGCCAAGTCTCTGACTTTACATTGAAGTTGGAAATCCAGATCTTATTTTTCATGCTGAGTAGTGCTGTTGACCTCCACACATACTTGAGAGAAATGAAAGCTTATCTTGCTTTTCCGATCCTCACTTCGATATCCTTGTCAGTTCCGTCTGCCTGTAGTTGAAACGATGATTCCCAGGTAGGTGGGTGAAGGGGGTTGTTTCTTTCAGATTTTCCCATTTGTGCTGATTGTTGTCTGTCGTTGTTGCTGTGGCTGCTGATGTTGGCCAGGAACCATCATCACCTACCTCTGTTTTCTCTATGTTCACCTGAGGTCCTATCTTTGATGCTTCTTCTGCCAACTTGTTGCTTTTCGCTTGCATATCTTCCAGTTTGTGGGAAATCAGACATATATCATCGGCGAAGTCCAGATCCTCCAAGTTTTTTGTGGGGCCATTTTATGCCTGTTTCCTCGCTGTCCGCTGTCTGTCACATTATCCAGTCTACCGCAATCAGGAAAATCATTGAAGATAGTAGACTGCCAGCTTGTCTTATTCCCGTCTTCACTTTTTCGAAGGATTCTGTGAGTTTCCCGTTGTAGATTACTTGGCATGCAGCATTGTCGAACAACTGTTAGATGAGGTGTAAAATTGTTGGCGGCACCCCATAGTAGTGAAATAGTTGCCAAATCACCTCTCGATCGACGCTGCGCTGTCGAAGGCCTTTTCAGAGTCACTGAAGTTGAGATAGAGAGGTGACTGCCATTCCGAGCTGTGTTCAATGATTATGCATAGTGTTGGGATTTTTTCGATGCACGACTTGTTTCTCCTGAATCCAGCCTGTTCCGGTCGAAGTTTTTCATTCAGGGCGTGTTTGTTTGATTCTGCCAGAATGGTGCGGCTTAGTATTTTGCTTAAGATGGACAGGGTCATAATGCTGCGCTGGTTCTTGCATTGACTTAAGTCTCCTTTCTTTGGCAGTTTGAATAAGTAGCCTTTCTTCCAATCCGCAGGTACCTTACCTTCTTTGCACACCTTCTCCAGTAGTGGTGTCATCAAGTTCGCTGATGTCTCTGGGTACATTTTCAATGCCTCTGCTGTGATTCCGTCTCGTCCTTCTGCTTTTCCAATTTTTAGCATCTTGATTGACTTCAGGATTTCTGTTCTGATCGGAGGGTTGGTGTCCACTGGTAGTTCTACTTCCACTGTTGGTATTATTGTCGGAGATGTTACCACTGAGCTATTTGCGGTCACAACTGACCACCTCCTGTAGGAATGTATTGAATAATTAATTTGATTGGACACTAGATAGTAATTAGTGTCGTGTGTTTATTCCTCGAATCAATCTATGAAGCCCTTAACTGTCGATATTAATCATGAAGAAGAAGCTGTAGACCATTGTTATCTGGCTAGAGTTCTCGAAACGCTAAGAATCTTTCCCTGGAGACTATTGATGAAGATGACACAAAATTCCAATACGGATAAGATTTTATTTTGATAAATCACACACAGTAGTGTTATACAGTAATATTAACTGATGACTACCTTTCGAGCACAAATTCTTACCCCTCATAATCATATCAAGGTATTCACTCACACAACTTTTTACTTCATTTATATACACGAGTGGAATTGATGATTAGACATTTGAATAAAAATCAGTATGGGATAATGTACATTCAGAAATAATAATAATATGAGTGTTATCAATCAATTACAATCAGATGGGAAATAAGACGAGTGTTTTTATAGTCAAAATAAGTAACTTGTTAGAATGTTATAATTAATGTATGTGAATTGAAATAGAATTTTAAGATTATTTATTATCCTCCTCTGATTTGACTGACTGGTGGTAATAATATCTTCCATACATATCTCTGGTATTCGCATTGAGTCATTTCTGTTGCATGTGTTGTGTTGGGTGTAGACTCGATGAAACAGGCCAGATTCAGTAATCAATCTCTCTCTCCACCTACATAGATTACTTCTTAGAATCTTAACCCTATCCCACGCACCCTGTTGTGTGGTTGTGTGTTAATGCATGCAGTGCAATGTAGTGCTGAGATTTTTCCTAAATTACTTATCTTCGCATGGTCAACCATGCTTACTTTAGCTAAATTCTTGTGTTCCGACGATCTGATTACCCCCGATCTACTAGTTTGACCTATGTAGTTGACCTAATTCATAGTAATTGCAAGATATTTTGTAAATTATATTATTTTGTTTATTTGGGTCCGCCGCGTCTTTTAGCCTACAGAGCTTGTTTCTGAGTAAGTTTGTAGGCTTGAATGCTACTCTAATTTCTGCTTTATTGAGAATCCTACATAGGGCTTCAGATGTCCCCTCCTTATATGTGCGTCGGTGGCATAGTGGTTAGGACTCTCGCCGACCATGTACATGGTCCGGGGTTCGATCCCCTGCCGGCGCACACCCGATATCTATGGTCGGCCTGAATTTGGGCTACCGATATCCATGCTGAAAGTTCCATACTTGTACTGATAATACGGTGTGGAACCAAGCTGTAAATCAAAATAAATAAATAAAATTAAAATAAAACAGTAAATGCCTTATATTCTCTTTTATTTATGTTATCATTACTAGTTTCACCATTATTTTTATTTTGCTTTTGGCCTTTACTGATCTTCCTAATGAATTTTATAGGATAGTTAGTTATTTAACACCAACCAGCTATTCTTCTATCTGTTTCATTTCATCATTTAGGTTTTTTGTTGTACTACTTAGTGCTATTGCTCGGTTTGTTAGACACTTAACTAAGCCACCTGCCTTCACAGACAGATAACGGATGAGATGAATTAAAGTCTAAATAGGATTAAATGTATTTAGAGAAATATTTTACCAGCTGTCCATAAAGATATATGCTAAAATAGGGGATATTGGTGATCCAACCCATTGCTACACCATCTGTTTGTTTATATATTTTGCCCTAGAATTTAAAGACAGTAGATGTGAGGCATAACTGAATTCCTAAAATAATTTTCTCAATGGGCAGCTTTGTCCTATGAGTGAGTTCAGGATCTGCAGTTAGTTCTCTTTTAACTGCTTCTACGGCCATATTGACTGGTATATTAGCAGAAAGACTAGTTCGATCAAAACTGAACATTGGTTCATCATTC